CCCCCCAGCAAGAAGTCAATGTCGCAGTCACACATCTGTAGTCCCCGCGCTTATCCTTTTCCCTGGGCAGGGCTTCCCTCAGGCTCCGCTTCATGAAGGCCCAGTGGACAACTTTCCAAGAGGTCTAGGAGACAGGTGTGTAGTTCCTGGGTTAAGTGGAGTAGCTGGAGATGTCTGCGCCATGCCAAGCAGGTGGATTCTGGGAAACAGCCCCCCCCCCACATACTGTTTCCTTGCTGTGGGCAACATCACCAGAGGTGCACAGAGACCTCAGGCACACAGTCTTTCTTTCCTCCCCTGCCCCATCCTAATCCCTCCACGTAGGGGATTTCTGCAGGTGGAGAGGAAGGCAGACAGAGGGCAAGATGGTTGGGTTGTAGAGGCCCTGTGTTTCAGTTTAGATCTGCTGGCAGATGCTTTTGGGGAAGTGAGACTCTGAAGCCTTTGGATTATCCTGCCTTTGCCCTCTTCCCCTAAGTGTGTCCCAAACAGACTATGTTCATTCCAATATCCACAGATGACTTCTAGCCAACATCCTGCAGGAGCAATGCCTTCTTTTTCTCCTGAATGGCTCTTTGTGCATTGGAAGGCCCATATGGGGGAATTCCTCTCCCTTTTCACCTCCAGGAGCATTTGGATTCCAGGTTGAGGGTCTTGAAGAAGGATCTGGAGGACTATGAGGTGTTCCGGTCTACAGAAGAGAAGGAGAGCAAGGAGCTACTGGTGAGCTGTGTATGGGCTAGCTGTATGTGAGGTGTTAGAGTACATGCTCCCTGAAAAGCAGTACAGATTTCAGAAAGACAGTCATAGGGTGCATATTATATAGGATGACTATATAATTTATCATACAAATCAGAGCTTTTGAAAGTGAAAGGGAGTGGTAAAATAATCATTGTAGAACATCTGGCTTAAACTGCCACTATTCCAGTGAATTAGGATGTATAGTCATTTTGATATTACATAGCATACCAATTAGGGACTGTGGAAACATTCTGTAATCGAACACATTAATAGTTCTTCAGAGAAACATATATACATTAACATTAAGTAGAAACAGCCAGATGTGGTGTCACACACCTGTAATCCCAGCACTTGGGAGGCTGAGGCAGGAGGATCACCATGAGTTCAAGGCCAGCCTGAACTACATAGAGAGATGCTGTCTAAAAAAGAAAAGGAAAAAAAAAGTAGAAAAAACAAATATAATAAGGAAGCCACACATCAGTTCAAGGCATCCATTGTTCATCCTAGACCTTTACATCTGATCATTCACTCCCCTCTCCAAGGAAGAGGTCACCTTTACAGACTTTCATCTCACCTGTGCTGGAAAAAGGATAAAGCATGTAGCTGTTCAGCTCCCATTTTACATTTGTAATGCAGAAGATGTCCTCAATATGGGCAGGGTCTCAGTATCCGATCCAACTCCCCATGACATTGTTTAACACATTCCACCTCTGTTTCTCCCAACACCAACCCATCTACTCTACTCCTTCTGGTTGACACAGTCTTTATAATTATAAAACATCTGCTTAAAGGAATAAGAGAGATGATATTCAATTATTGTCATGTGATGAAAAGATGAATATTTTTTCCAGTTCTAGGGATGGAACACAGGGCGTTGTATACACTAAGCAAATTCTCTACCCCTAAATTATATACCCCCTTAAAAACAAATATTTCTACTGAAAATGTCCTTTCAGGAGATATTTGGTAATCTGGAAACATTTTTGGTTATCAACACTTGGAGAAGAGCACTACTGGCATTTAGCGATGGAGGTCAGAGGTTCTAGTAAATATCCTACAATACACAGAGCAGCCACATAACAAAGACTTACATGACCACAAATGTCAGTAGTATCTACGTTGGGAAACCCTGATTTAGAATTTTTAGTCTGTTTTCTGTTGCTATAACACAATACCACACACTGGACAATTTGTAAAGAACATAGGCTTAGTTGGCTGCCAGTTCTGCAGACTGGAAAGTCCAAAACTCTGCACTTTGCAAGGATCTAAGGGCCTTCTTGCTGAGTCATAATTTGGCAGAGAATATGATATGATGAGACAGGGCATGAGTGCTAGTTTAGGTCATATCTCTCTCTCTGTCTCCCCCCCCCCCGGTAGTGCTAGGAACTGGATACATTGCCTTCTAACTGAGCTACATCCCCAGCCTTTTGTTGATCTTTTTATTTTAAAATAGGGCTGTGCTAAACTGCTAAATTCCCAGATGGGGCTTGAATTCCTAAACCTCCTGCCTCACCCTCGCAGAGTGCTGGGATTATGGGCATGTACCACTACTATACCACCACACCTGGCTTACTTCTTTTTAGAAAGCCACTAATGCTCTCAGGTAGGCCCCACCCTCATATAATCCTCATTACCTTCCAAAGGAAGTTCCCACTTCCAAATACCACTAACATATGTATGTGTGTCTTAATTTTCCCAACACATGAACCTTTGGGGGGCATATTCAAACCCAAGAGATTTTGGTAAACACCATCACTTTTGTCTTTCCATGGGAGGCAGCACAATGTAGTTGTCAACAGTTCAGCCTCTGGGGTCAGACTCTGGGTTGGAATTCTGGCTTTTCACTTATTTACAGATAAGTCCTTCTGCCTCTGTTCCCTCACCTGCAAAGCAGAATGAGAATTGTACTTCCTCCCTTGAGTTCTCAGGGTGAGGGAGTTAATACCTATAAAGTGCTCTGCACAGCTGCTGTCTGTCCAGTGTCTGATGATGCAGGTAAGGTAGGGCATTGTGAGAAGGGTAGGGAACCGAGATCTGTGTCCAGTCTCCTGACCTCAACACCATGCCCTCCTCACCCCACGATCTACTCCTCAAGCCATGTCTTCCTCTTCCCTAGAGTTTTCAGGGGAAAGCAACTTTGACGATTGAGCTTGCTTGGTGGAACTGAATTCTTGTTTTTGTGAGAAGCCATGCTCATTATCAGGAAGAGTGCCTTATGTTTGACCATGTAAAAAATCAGGAGATCAGGAAGGGGTCTGTATCTAGAAACACAGGAGTGAAAATGTTTGTGTATTAGGTCCATCGGAAGAACAGACTATCAAGCTTGCACACAGCATATTCTCATGTAGGCTTTCATGAGTAGCCTATTACCTCTGGCTGCTGGTGTCATGTTTTAATTCCTTCATTCCTGCAATTCCCAAGTTTTGTATTTTGAAAATGTATTACCACTAAATTGCTAAATGTGCTTTTCAAAAAGAAGTAATATAAATAGTGAAGTTTAAGGGTGATAAAATAGATGTTTTGGGAAAGACGAAATGCAATTTAACTTTAATGCTTATGGTGGCCCCAAAAGCCACTGACTTATCCTGCTCATTTTTCAGATCAGACAACTACAGTTTGAGGTAGTTCTGGGGAGTTTAAAGTTGCCCTAGTTTAAGTGTTACAACTCAAATCAAAAGAGACACCCAGGCATGTCTGTAGCAGAGGAAGACAAGGTTGATGAGCCTCTGGTCACTGAAGAAGTGAGGGGGATGGAACCCTGCCATGTGGAACAACTCAGAGGCTCCTATCCAAATTTTATGTCTTGATGCTCAGTTCTTTTCATCTCTCCAACTTCTCTTGGGACAGAAGCAGATGGCAGCAGAGAGAGAGAAGGTTGGGGCAGAGTTCCAGGCACTGCGGGCCTTCCTGGTGGAACAGGAGGGTCGACTCCTGGGCCGCCTAGAAGAGCTGTCCTGGGAAGTGACACAGAAGCAAAATGAGAACCTGGCCCAGCTAGGAGGTGAGATCACTCAGCTTTCCAAGCTCAGCAGCCAGATCCAGGAGACAGGTCAAAAACCTGACCTTGACTTCCTCCAGGTGAGTCTAGCCAAGTCAAGTCAGGGTTTTGGCTGAGTCATTCGTCCCAACACATTAATTATTCTAAAGCACAGGAATGGCAGCTAGAGAATGATAAAATCCTGAGAGTTAGTATAATCATATTATCTGAAGCCAAAAAGGCCTGGAGAGGTGCTGATTCTCCTGCAGTTGGAGTCTGACGGGATATGATAAAATGTTTTCATTCCTTTTTTTGTGGTGCTATGGATCAAACCTAGGGCCTTGTACGTGCTACACAATTGCTATACCACTAGGTTACATTCCCAGCTCCTTAAAACTTTCTTGGCTGTGAGCCACAGTAATATGTCTTGCATTGCATGCGATATATTTGAGACAAAAGCCTCAGAAAATATTACTGTTGTCAAATGTAATGCACTTTGATTTTTTTGTTGCTGTTGTTTGTTTTTTTTTGGTTTTGTTTTTTTGAGACAGGGTCTCACTACGTAGTTGAGTCTGACCTGGAACTCACTATGTAGCCCAGGCTGGTCTCGAACTCACAGTGTTCCTCCTGCCTCAGCCTCCCGAGTGCTGGGATTACAGGCCTGTGCCACCACACCCGGCTTGCACTTTGATGTTTTTAAATTCCATTTTTGAAAAACAGTTATAACCCACTAGATAAACTTCATAAACCACAAATAGGTCAAGGACAGTCATTCAGCTGGGTATGGTGGCATATACTTGTAATCCCAGATACTGGTTTCCACTGAGGGTTGGGGATAGGGGATTAAGGTAGAATGGTGGAGAGGGTTTGAAGATAGCTGGGGCAATTTAGCAAGACCTTGTCTCAAAATAAAAAATAAAAAGGGATAGGTTATAATTCAGTGGTAGAATACTTGCCTAATATGTGCATGGTAACAGGTTCAATCCTCAGTACTGGGCAAAGAGAAAGACACTGGTCCAAGTGACTCATCATTGTGTTAGATCTATGATTTGTTTCTGATTATTTCAATAGCAGAGGTAAACATTAGGTACTGCCAGAGGGCTCCACTCATAATTCTATAAAAAATAAAAATTTCTCAGAGCTGCGATAAGGATTTAAAGGGTCACCCAGCAGCCAGCCATACTGGAAGCTGTTGTCCCTTGGTAGGCCCTTCATGTGGGCAGTGAGCATAGTATACTTGCTTATTGCTCTCTTATTGTTTATTTTCTTGAAGGCGGGGTGAGGGGTGAGTTTTCTTTTCTCAGAGATGAATGGCGATCACCTGATGCTGACTGTGTTTTTCTTCCATTTCCCAACCCCTAGGAATTCAAGAATGCACTAAGCAAGTGAGTGAATTTAACAGTTCCTTGGGTCTTTCTACTCTGGCTCTTTTAAATTGAGCTCTCTCTTTTTATCCCCTTCTGTATCTCTCTCTTCTGGATCCTCCAACCCACACATTTATTTGGGTAACTTCTGAGACAAATGCCCACTTGCCAGGCTGTATTTCCTGCACAGGGTGTGATTCTCCTTGCCCTTTTTCACCACTTTCTGCCAAGAGGATCTCACCATCTGTGTTAGTTAGCTTTGCATTACTGTGACAAAATAATCTAAAATAATTCATTTAAAAGAAAGAAAGGTTTATTTGGGCTCATGGTTTCAGAGGTTTTAGTTCATGATTGCTTGGCCCTATTGTATTTGAGCCAGTGGCCAGATAACATATTGTGAGAGTGTGTGGTGGAGGAAACAGCTGGGAAACAAAAAAAGAAAAGAAAGGAGAGACCAGAGTTCTAGTATCTCCTGCAAGGACACACTGCCAGTTATCTAAATTCTTCCCAAAAGACCTATCTTCTAAAAGTTACACCACGTCCCCATAGTACCATGGTGGGCTGACAGCCAAGCCTCGAACACATACCTGTAGGGGGCACTGAAACAATAGCACTGTGGTAATCGTCATGGCCCAGTAGTAGGGGAATGATGTTCTCATGGTTTTCTAAGAGTCTCTGTTGTGCAGATGCAGCAATGTTCCTGCTCCAAAGCCAACCACAGTCTCCTCTGAGATGAAGAATAAAGTCTGGAATATCTCTCTCAAGACCTTCATCTTAAAAGGACTGCTGAAGAAGTTCAAAGGTAAGGGCTTGGGTATGAGCTGGTTCACTCAGTGTGTGTGATAGTGGTGTGTTTCTGGAAGTTCGGAGATCCTGGGGGGGTGCCTTCCCAGAGCCCATGTGAGGGAATAGGAGCTGGGGATGGGGTGTCAGGGTCAGGGTGGTGGAGAAAGGCAGTAGGAGCAAATCTATTTGTGGGTTCTCCCAGGGCGTCAGGCTTTCTATGGGGACATACAAGGAGGAGCGGCACTGTGGACAGAGAAGGGAGATCTTACCTCAGACTAGCTCTGGGCAAAGGAAAGAGAAGTTAGAAAAGGGAGAACTATGATACTCAGGAGTCTGTTCCCTGTTGACTCCCTAACCCCATGCTCGGCTCTGTGCCTCTGCACCAACTCTTGGTGATACTTCGGAGTAACTATGGAATGAGTGAGTCAGATGAGTTATAAAGGTTGGAAGAGTGGATATTGTTGCCAGACAGTCTCCCATGTTGCTCATGCATACTTTGTTTTGTTTCTCCTCCTCAGAGGACCTTCAGGGGGAGATGGAGAAAGAGGAGAAAGGTATGGATGGTGGTTGTGATAGTGAGTACAGCGGAGAACTCACCCCCCTGCTCTTGACTGTTTCTGGGTTTTGCGCACAGTTGGTTCCTCCTGCCAACCTGCCTCAGTGGATTTGCCATTCCAGTCCCTCCCCGTCCTCACCTTGGCAGTTTTGACCCTCTCGGTTGTTAGTGGTACCTGTTGCCCTATAAGCTGTGGATTGATCAGGTGCGGATGGGAGTGTTGTGGCCTCAGGTTACTTAGATTAGCGAAGGCTTGTCAGTCACCTACATGGTCTTTCTCTTCTGTCTCCACATTAAGATAGAAACCTCTCCTGCATATGGGGGTGATGTACCAGGGGACAGAGGGAGCAGGCAAGATGGTAGTCAGGAAGGAAGATGGGCATTATGACTGAGAGCTCTAGAGTGTGTGGACTCTAACACCAGAGGGGAGAGAGGGCATGTAGTACTCCTGTGGGAGACTGAGCTAAGTCGCAGTACGCATAGGTAAGATGTAACCCCGTTTAGTGGAACTGAGTCTCTCCTTTGCTCAGCACCCTGGGATGAGCTCTTCGCATTCATCCAGGAAACCTCACAATGGCCTTCATGGCCCCAGAGGATCTGGCTGCCCTGCGTTCTCTCCTCCCGCTCACCCTGCAGCCGCTCATCCTCCCTGCTGCTGCCAGAATGCACCAAATATGCACCCAGGGTCTTTGCATGGCATTCTGCCCTTCAGCCTGGAACATGTTTCCCTAAACATCGGCTTGACTGGATTCCTCATCCTCTTTGTCTCTTTGCTTAAAAACACCATTCTAGGCCCGGCGTGGTGGCGCACGCCTGTAATCCCAGCACTCGGGAGGCTGAGGCAGGAGGATTGCTATGAGTTCCAGACCAGCCTGGGCTACATAGTGAGTTCCAGGTCAGAATCAACTACATAGTGAGACCCTGTCTCAAAAAAACAAAACAAACAAACAAACAACAACAAAAAAAAACCCAAAACACCATTCTAGTGAGGCTTTCCTTGGCCATGGTAGTTGAAATTAGAATCTGCTCTTCTGATCCTTCTTATTTTGTGTTTATCATTAATTGCTTGTTTCCCTTTGCTAGGAAGGTAGTGTCAACAGATTAAGGATACTCAACTGTTCTCTATGGTATTTCCAAGGCCCAGAACAGTGTCTGAAAAATAGTCTTGCTTACAAGGGTATATATTTTAACTCTTTATTATGGAGATTTTGAAACATACTCTAAGGTAGAGAAAAGAATATAGCAAATGCGTAGTTATCATATACAGCAATTATCGATTTCTGGCTAATATTTTTCATACACATCGTACCAGCTTCTTGCCACTGAATTATTTTAAAGTGGAACCGGGGATTTAGCTCAGTGTTTTGCTGCCTGCCTCTCAAGTACAAAGTCCAGTTGGATTCCCAGTCCAAAAAAACAAAAAAAAGAATGATAAAGCAAATTACAGGTATTTCCATGTAAATCTCAGTATGTTATCGCTAAAGAAGTAAGACTTTCATAAAACATAACTGCAATACCATCGTCACACCTAGAAAATGATTCCTTCCAATATTTAGTGCTCAAATTTTGCTGTCTTTGAAATTGGACATGTTGATCAGCTTGTGTTAGGGTCCAATTCAGACTCACACATTGCATTTGTTTGATTTCAGAAAGCACTTTTTGAGTGGGGGTGTGGGGCAGTGAAATACCTGAAAGGCAGAGGGCGGAGGATTGTTTGGCCATTGGCACTGGAAGGATTCTTCAAGGAAGGGAAGACAGGTTTGTAAGGAAGAGAGTATGAGAGCAGAGGGGCTTTGGAAAGAACTGTTGTAAGGGCATCTTTCCTTTGTTCTGCTCTACAGCGGAGCTCACCTTGGACCCCGACACAGCCAACCCTCGCCTTATCCTCTCTTTGGACCTTAAGAGTGTGCGCCTTGGACTGCGGGCTCAGGATCTGCCCAGTCACCCTCGCCGCTTTGATACCAACACTCGTGTCCTGGGATCTTGTGGTTTCTCCTCTGGGCGTCACCACTGGGAGGTGGAAGTGGGCTCAAAAGATGGCTGGGCCTTCGGTGTAGCCCGTGAGAGTGTGCGCCGCAAGGGCCTCACGCCTTTCACCCCAGATGAAGGTGTCTGGGCACTGCAGCTCAACAACGGGCAGTACTGGGCCGTCACCAGTCCTGAGCGGACGGCCCTCAGCTGTGGGCACCTGTCACGAGTGCGGGTGGCCCTGGACCTGGAGGTGGGAGCTGTGTCTTTTTACGCTGTAGAGGACATGCGCCACCTCTACACTTTCCGAGTCAACTTCCAAGAGCGTGTGTTCCCCCTTTTTTCTGTCTGCTCCACGGGCACTTACTTGCGAATCTGGCCTTGAGGAAGGACAGCTTCCCAGGAGGAGAGTGAATGCCTCTCTTGGGAGTCTAATCTCAGTTTTGGGCCTGCCTCCACACTTCTGCTCCAGGCTGCCTCACAGAGCACAACGTGGGAGGCACGAAGCGTTGATTGACTGTGGAAAAGGCCTCTGTGCACAACTGGGAAGAGATGCCTTGGACCCTTGGGGCCTTTTCCCTCCTATTGATGGTCATATAAACTTGGCTTTAATTGTGAAGATGTGGATGTCTGTGAGGACAAAATCCCAGTTGTTGGCATGGGTGCTTCCTATCACATGAAATTTTCTGCCCTGATTTAGAAAGGGCTGTGGTTCCATGGAACAATGCTACGCAGTGATCCTGATGCAAGAGGCAGGTTTGACCCTGAGCCAACCATGTTCATTATCAATTTATCTTCTTGCCAGCTCTGCCTTGAGAGGTCACGAGACCTCTGGCTCTAGCTGGCCTAACCATCTACTGAGGAAAGAGCATTGTCTTCCCAGCTCAAGAGTTCAGTCCGGTTAGAACTAGAAGGAGATCGTTGACCCAAGCATGAAGGAGAAGGTGACGACTGTTGTACTATGGGCCTCACTACTCTCCAACACCCCTTAGCCTGATAATGCGGAGGGATTTGTGCATTCTTGACCACAAAGCAACCGATGTGTGTTTTCACAGATACCTAACCTGTTTTCCAGCATCAGGGCAGAGGTTCCTCTGGGTGAGGAGATCAAAGGTCCTAGAATGTTGAAACACATATCAATACAGATACTTTTACACATGCAACTAGCACTAGCATAGAAATGCACAGAAGCGAAACATGCTCCCCATAGACTTTTTGGAACTTGCCAAATGAATGCACAATAGAATATTGTGTGCCAAAGCCTGCTCAGCCTGTGCCCAGGGGGGTATTCAGCAAGCATTATCCTCCTGGCTGATTGTTCCCCAGCTTTTGGATTCTGGGATTCTGGGAAGGAGATTGTGGGCTGTACTCTGCTTATTGCACCTGTGGGAAGGGCCATAGGGAGATGGATATACAAATTGTGAGCTCATTTCTACAGATGGCTTGACCTGTTCTCATCTTTTTTGGTCTGTTTACAGAAGGACAAGTCTGAGCAAGGATTTCTACTAATAATAACTAAGCATTGATGTTTGTGTATATGAGAAATATGGATGCATGTATTTATACCTAACATTTGGGGTGAAGAGCATGTGGATTTCAGACAGGGCATTTCTGAGTAGGTGCGTAGGGTTTAAGTGTTGCAAATAGATTTAAGTCAACTGGTCATATCCTATTATTGATTTGTTGTTAAATATTAGCTAACTGTATTAGTTACTTTCCCATCACTGGGACAAAATACTTGACAACCACAACTTAAAGGAGAAGTTTATTTCGACCTAAAATTTCAGTGGGTTCAGTCTATATTTGGCTGGCTCCAAAACAGATACCACATGGTGGAAGTGTCTGGTGAAGAAAAATTGCTCAGGTCATTTCAGACAGGAAGCAGAGAGAGAAGGGAGAAGCACAGGCCGGGAACTCACTCTCCAGGTCATGGCCCTAGGGCCTATCTCCAACCAGTTTCTACCTAACATCACATTCAGCCATGAATCCACTGGTGAATATAGCACCCCCCCCATTCTAACCACTTTCCTAAAGCTCTACCTTTGAATACCTTTTGGGAGACATTTTAGTTTTTTTATTTGTTTATTTTTGAGAAAGGGTTTTGTGCTGTAGTTCAGGCTGCCCTTCAACTCATGACAACTCTCCTGCCTCAGCCTCCCAGGTGCTGGGATTGGCCAAGGGAGACATTTTAGATGGAATCCCTAGTACCATGTCATCTGGGCGTGGCAGTGTACAGCTGTGATCCCAGCATTTGGGAGGCCGAGGCACAATTCCCTTTGTGAGAACATGTGCTTGCAGAGTAATTACAGACATCTGTGTACAGGAAGAAACATCACTGTAACAACTACATTTAAAGGGGAGGAAATGTTCTTTCTTGTACACAAGGGTGACTAGGTCACAGGACTTGAATGACACAGTGCTAATGTGAATGTGTGCTTTCCCCCTTCCATCCTTTGGGTATCATAAGATATGAGGGTAATAACTGGCCCAACTGGTCCTGCTTACCCCACCCATGAGTTTCAGATCTGGAAGAACCCAGGACTTTGCCACCAGGTCCTCAAAGACTCTTCAGAATTCAGATAAAGGGCACTCAAAGGCCTACCTCAGGCTTGCCCACTAAGTGACTCAAGCCACCTGAACTTTTGGGACCACTGGGTGTGTTGGGACCAAGCTGTCTATGACCTACAGCCACTATCACAGGTTTCTCCAGCCCCACCAGACTCTACGCCCTGTCCCTCATCTGGGCCCCCACTTCTTTCCTTGACCTCTCCACCTGGTGGGCCCCTTGAGGGCCCTGACAGACCAGCTTCCTGAGGGTCAAGATGTGTCGTAAGTATTGTCTTCTTCTAACTGGGCAGGGACTGGGGGACTGTGGACCTAGGCCAACATCCTGCACACACCTCGACCTTCTGACCCCCACCCCTTCCTTCTCAGCCTGAATGAGCTGGAGATTGGTGGGAAGACCTGGGCTCTGCTCCAACATCAGCCAGCTGTTTAATCCGACAGTCTGTGGCTGTGCTCTGAAGGTGGCAACAACTATTTGCCAGCAGAACTTTTTGCTGTGTTTGGCTCCTTAGCTCAGGGGTTAGAGCTCTGGTTTTATAAGCCTAAGCCAGGGGATGTGAGTTCAAATCTCACTGGGGCCTTGTAGTCATTTTGCTTTATCCGATGTAAACAAGGGGTCGAGAGTTCAAATCTCACTGGGGCCTTATAGTCTTTTTGCTTTATCCGAAAGGTTGAAAAAATGATAGATGCATCCTTCCGTTGCCCTCGCAATTCATCATTTCTTCTCAGCTCGATACCACATCCTTGCCTTTTCTGGGAGACCACGACCCTCAGTGCCCCTTCTCCCCGCTCCAGGATGGTGGTGGGTGTCCCAGCCTCCCTCCTGCTGCCCTCCAAGTTGTAACATCTGCTTTTCCTCCCCAAGAATTTGTGCATACAAAACAAGCAAACAAAAAAAAGTGCAAGCAAAAGTCCAGATTCCTGACACGGGGGGGCGGGGCGCAAAGATCACAACCTTGTCACATTTGCTTTCACTCCTTTAAACAAACAGTGAACAAAAATGTTTCTTTGCTGGGAGGCAAGTCTCTGGAGCAGTTCCTTCTTTCTGTTTACGTTTCTTTCTTTACCTGTTGCTTTTTCCCTTGGTAGTGGGTGCGCAGGAGGAGCCCAGACCCTCTGGGAACGATGGAGAGGTGGTCCTGAGCCTCCCCTTCCACACCGGAGGAGGAGCGCGGAGCCCTGTGGGTTTGTAGCTCTGGGTTCAGTACACAGGATCCAGCCCAGTGCGCCTGGACTAAAAGACCCGCGGGATCGAAGGTGGAAGAAGCTGGCTGCAGGGCACCTCTCCCCTTTCCTCGAGCCCCAACTGACTCAAAGGGCCAAGACTTCTGGTCGAGGTGGATAGGACTCTTCCCCGGGCAGACCAGGAACACAGAGATAGGTCCGGGAACCTGTGTGCCTCGGACTCTTTGAGCCTCGGACTCTGACCACACAGTACCTGTCCCCAAAGGAAGGTGACCTTACTGTAGAAGCCGGATCTCCAGGACCAACTTCTAGCCGTGTGTGTGTGTGTGTGTGTGTGTGTGTGTGTGTGTGTGTGTGTGTGTGTGTGTGACAAACAGAGACAGAGAGACAGACAGAAAGAGATAGAGAGATAGACAGACAGACAGACAGACAGACACATACAGCCAGGCAGGCTGTCCCCCGTAACAGTTGAACTAGTGAATGAACCTCAGGCCTTGCATTCCAGAGGATTCAGGTCTGGGTGGGACAGCTGTACCCAGGAAATGGCGGCTGAGTACAAAAGTCTTCTAGGGCTGGTCTGGTGAGGCTCTAGGAGGAAAGTTCAAAGGCTCACATCCCTGAGGGGTGAGGGTAGGGGGAGGAAGGGTTAGCTGATGTGTGTCTTTTGGGTTGGTTTGAAGTCAGGAGATAGAGGAAGTTAGGCAGATAGGACACAAGTCCTGAGTAGTTAACCGCATAAACTAAAAGTCAGGACTTATGTTGACAAAGGGCCCAAATAATTTAAATGAACTATGAGGGTGTAATGGAATGTAAGGGACAAAGGGAAGATCCATAAACAAATTCGAGGGCCTTGCCTCATAAGTGCAAGGATCCCACGTACCAAACCAAACAATACAAAACAAATTCAAGAAGCCCTGGAGGAAGTGAAACACAATCAAAACAGCTGCCTGTAGGACATCCAAAGGCCTACCAGCAGCCATCCTTGCATCTTGTCACAGTCACCTATACCAAAAACTATATAAAAGGTCAATGGACTTCGATATCCACATTGTTTGCCTTATGGAAACCCTTCTGGATAAGCAAGGAGCTTTTCCTTTTTATTCTTTCAAGTAAACACACATTTGGTCATTCCCACTGTTTGCTGCTTGCTGTTTTGTTGGCTTCAAACTTTGTTGCTCCAAAATAAGGACCCAGATCACAGCACAGGAGGAAGCTGGTTACAGGTTCACTTAGGATGTTGGTGGGAAGAGTGAAAAGCTAAGAACTGAAGCCAGACTGACAAAGTAGATAGAAAGCTACACTTTGAAGAATCAGAGAGAAGGATCGAATTCAGAGGTCAGCAGACAGCAGCTGAGCAAGCTCTGCAAAAGTGAGAAGAGAAAAATTAGCTAACCATCACTCTCCCATAATGCCTTATTTATTATTTTTCTATTGATACGTAATAACTGTACATACCTCTCTTCTTTTTTGTAGTACTGGAAATTGAACCCAGATCTGTCACACTCTTCACTTTTTTATTATGAGACAGGGTCTTGCTGAGTTGCTAAGTTGCCCAATTGGGCTCAAACTTGAGATCCTTCTGCTTCAGCCTCCCAGGGCTTTGATTACAGGTGAGCATCATTATGACTGGCAATAATTGCACATACTTATGGGATACAATGGGATGACTCAAAATGTGTTGCATTAGTCACTTTCCCTTTGCTGGAACAAAAATCCTGATACCACAATTTAAAGGAGGAAAGGTTTATTTTGGCTTAATATTAGTGAATTAAGTCCATGGTCAGTTAGCTCCAAGGCAGAAAAGACATGGTGGAAGGGACTGGAGGAGGGAGGTTGTTTAACCCATGGCAGCTAGGAAGCAGAAAGCAGAGGGAGGGAGGGAGAGAGAGAAGGAGCCAAGGACAAGAATACGCCCTTCCAAGTCACGACCCCAGTGACCTGCCTCCTCAGACCAGGCCCCACCTCTGAATGTGGGACTCTGGGAGGACAGTGTGGTTTGATTTACATTTCCCTGATGATATTTGTCATTTTAGTTCTTTTTAATTGGCTTTTTTTTTTTTTTTGCTGCTGAGGTGTTTGAGTTTCTTTTCTTTATTAATTTATTTTCTTGGTATTTTAAGGTATATAATATGACATTCATCATTGGAAATTTTCACGTTTACATAATCCATCTTGGTTCTTAGTTTTTCCCCATTCCCCTGCCCTCCCTTCAACCCCTCTGTCCCTCTCTATCTACAAGACGTTGTTTCCGCTTTTTCTTTTTCGCATATTAATTCCGTTCCCCTTTCTTTTCCCCCACCCCTCCCACTTCCACTTCTGCTTTGCATTTTCCTTCCTATTTCACATTATCTGTTATACCTTTTAGTCCTTATTTACACTTCCAGCTTTTAAATTTCTTATGTTTCTGGACATTAATCCATTGTCGAATGCATAGTTTAAAAATATTTTTTCATTCTGTAGTCCAGTCTCTCTGTTGATGGTTTCCTTTGCTGTGCAGATTTTCGGTTTGATGTAATCCCGAGTTTATTTTTGTTTTTGTTGCTGTGCTTCTGAGGTCCTTGGGTAGACCAATGTCATGAAGCATTTCCCCTGTGCTTTTGTCTAGTAGTTTCATAATTTGAGGCATTGTGTTTAAATCTCTAATCCTTTTGGAGTTGATTTTTGTAACTGGTGAGATAGGAACCTAGTTTAATTCTTTTGCATATGGCTATGCAGTTTCCCTATCACTATTGAAAAGACTGTCCTTTCTCCAGGGTATGTTTTCCATGCCTCCTGTCGAGAATCAGTTTGTTGTTAATATGATCCACACAGCTTTGTAACAGCCATAGGTGTAGGAAATTGCTGCGCTGGTGACACAAAAATAAACCGGCGGCCCACCTCTGAATGAAATATCGCGAATTTAATGCCTGGGACCTGAATTACTATCTTCTCCTATTAAGTAGTCCAGTGCAATTAAACTCCTTTGGGAGAAACCAGAACCTGAGCAAGGCAGAGGG